ACTGCCATCAAGTGGTCGACCTATATATTAGGTGGTCGACCATGTTGTTTCTGACGCCAACGAAATGGCCGACCGAGGTTTTATTCTGTTCGACCAAAAATACCAACTTAAACTAAATGCGGTCGACCAGGTGGTCGTGGCGGTTGACCGCAAGGCTTTCTCGTGCTGCCCAAATTAGTCAATTCGGTCGACCGCCCTCAGGAATAGGTCGACCGAAAAGTGCATATCACCGTGACATGCATGTCATAGTAGGCATACCCTAAACTTTATCAGCTCAATATCGAGTCCAACTAAAAATAAATATATATGGTTATGACTTACTAGAAAGTCGTCATCTTCGAATAAGGGATTTGAAGGCGTGAAATTTTTCACTCGGGCTAGAATTTTCAACAATTATACATGTAATGTTGGGCTAGGTATCTACACATATCAAATATACAATTTCCATTTTTCTATAAAAAAAGTAAATAACTATCATCTTAAATACATCACCATAAAAGGTTTAGTAGCTAAACTTAATAGAACTTTAGATTTATAACCTAAATTTTTTTTTGCATATAAGTCCTCAAAATATTGATAAAACATTATATTTTAGTACCTAAAATTTTGTGTATTATATTTTGGTACCTAAAATTTTGAAGATCTACAAATATGTCTAATTTGTGTATATGGAATTAAAACACCCTCGAATAAATGGGTATTCAACCCAACTCATACACATTTAGATTACGTAAGTAAATATCAATACCATACCAAAACCCATCTACAAATTTCCAAACCCATATATATATATATATATATATATGGTGCCTTCTACGGTACCCCGGGTGAAATCCGGGGTACCGCATACTTTGAGTATGAAAACGCTATCTAGACCTCGAATTAGCAGGATTTTTGGGCATGATAATATACCCTAACCCTTAATGAGTGAACCCTAGGTCCTAATTATCTAAATCTAAACTACAAACCCTAAGATGGTGCATTGATTTTTTTGCCTATATTTGGACGAATCATAACCGTCGATTATTGTTTCTAATTAAATTGATCTTGACGAATAAGATTTAGAGAATTAAGACCTAGATTTTGATCTTTAAGGGTTAGATTATAGTATCATGTCCGAAAGATCAGGCAATTCAAGTTCTAGATAGCGTTTTCTTACTCAAAGTATGCGGTACCCCGGATTTCACCTTGGGTACCGTAGAACTCCCCATATATATATATATATATATATGTATGTCACACATACCTTACCCATGATCAATGTGTCTACTTGGGTTTAGCTAAATATCATTTACTACCCAAAATTTTCAAAATATTTTAAATTGGATGTTGACCGCCATATATCTCTTCTCAGTCAATATCATAATTTCAAGTCAATATTACTAATACAACTACAAATAAAAAAATAATTTTAGACTAATAATACTAACAAAACATTATAAGGGGCCACATAATACATGCCCATATATCAATGTCATTTCCGCCCAGTCACAAGGCGCAACATCACCTCCTAGTACTTCTTCAATAAGGACATTGTTCATGAACAACAAAACATCTAATTTCATTAGGCAATACTACCTATTAGTACCCTGTTAAAAGGGAAAAAAGATTACAAATACTATGATAGTAATAGCAATTACTTTTTAAAAGTTAATTTCAGAAATTTAATAATTTATTGTGGCATCCTCTATTTTTTTTAATAATTTACATGTTTATTTTACAAAAGAGCCATTACATGAATCTAACAATTAATACCACGAAGAACAATTCCAACAATGTTAATATGTATATATTGACTGTGATCCATTAGCAAGATTCGGCTCGTACGTACAAGCATAATACTTTGAAGGCCTTTTTTCAGTTGAGATCCTTTCTCGTGGAGGTGGAGAAGAAAAACAAACCCAGAAAGTCATATCAACAACATAGTTCCCAGAAAATAAAGCTTAACATCTCCAAACAATTCGTCGGTGACAAAAAAAAAAACAAGAAATTAAGTGCAGCCTATCGTCACTCAGAATTATTATTTGTTTACATTAACTTTATTAATGGAGCTTGAACAAATCCAAAGTTCATAAGTTGAGATGCCGACCGACCGGAAGACCGCAAGCCTCCGATTGCATAATTGCTGTTTCGGACTAAACAAACAAATCACAAAAGTAGATTCGATTATTACATTATTAGTTTTTTAATCCACCGAACAACAACAATACAAGAATGTTGAAATTAATTGATTAATTAATTAATTGCAAGAGAATCATATGTTTGGTTTCAGAATTGAAATTGGAATTACCTACCCCTGCGAGCTGCGACTGCGATGAAGACAGAGGCCTAATATTGGGAATTTTTCCTTCTCGTGATTATCCCGCCTCACCCAATAGCCTTTCTCCAGCTTGAATCGAGGCAGCTAGTCCACAATACAAGAATTACTTTAGAGTATAATTGTACAAATTTGACTGTCACATAAAAGAGTGGAAAATGTATTGAATTCATTAATTGGTGTATTCATAAATTTATGGATGGGATTAAATAAATTAGTGGATCAGATTCATGAATTCATGTGAGATCCAAATATTGTACCATTATAAATTTTTTAATATTGTAAAGTTCAGATAAAAAATTGTCACGACAAAAAATTATAGAAACCAAAACATAAAATTTCAATGATATTTTTCGTTAAAAGTTTTAAATTTAGTTATCAAACAATAAAATATTAAAAAAATAATTACTAAATTGTAATTTTCAAATGTCCATGAATCCACCAATCCAATTGAATTAGTTGAATATTTTAGTTAATTGAATTAATGGATTGGATAGAAAATTGTCACCTCTACAATAAGATAGGTGTAAACACTGTTTTTTTTATGTCTTTTGAGTTTACTGATCAGCAACTAAATGATTCCAATGTATATTTTGTATGCACAGAAAATGTTCTGAGATGATTTCAAGTCCTTAAGCCTTTAAACTTAAAAAGTATCTTTGAGTAATTTTTGTCCATTAGATTAACCTAGATAGTCAACATCTAAAGTTAGAACGGTTGGCCAATAGAAAATCAGATGGTCGAGAATATAATCTTCAAATTGGTGATGAATTGGCGGTTCTTATTGTCAACCCAATACAAACGACTGAGCAAGACATTACTGTTGTATAGTTTGGCGTGTAGGATTGCAACAACACATTGATTAGATGCTCATGAGATGCAATTATCTAACTATTTTGTTTATCTAATCTATGCTTATTTCGTGGGTGCTTAGTTACCAAAAATGTACTTTTTCACTCTTGGACCTCCTACAATTAAATGTCAATTTATTTTTATGTTAAGTCATAAAGGAAATGTAGATCTTGAAAAAATAATTATGTCGTTTCAAAAGCCTCGCTTTGTTGTAAATAAACAAAAATCAAACTTTCTTCTTCTTAACAACCTCATCAGTTCCTTACGGTATGTACGTACAATTAATTGGAAAAAAATTATCATCATCCGGATATTCTACATTTAACTTCTAAGTTTGTTGAGTTACACATTCATCAAACGAGAAATAAGTTTAAAGTTGACTTTATGCGATTATGACATATAATAATTAGAACTATCTACGTGAAGTTGTTGTCCCTCGGTTGAAGAAAATGTTAGACACTTGCAATATTTAGTCTAAGAATCCATATGCATAAAAAAAAAATCAAAGAAAGACCATGTACAATTTATGAAGTTTAATTTTTTGGCTAATTGAAAATCAGATGGTTGTGAAATTGATCTTCCATCGGCGATGAACTCACAACTTTTATTATTGTTGATCCTCATGAAACACACAATATAGTAATGACCCTCGTATCAACTGAAACTTGAGTAATAGATAGTAAGAATAAATAAAGGAGCACTTTTACTATGCTATATAGCATTGATGCTTTAATGTACAACTTAAAGTTGTACCATAACATTAAGTGTATAAGTTTAGATTGTACCATAAAGCAATTTGTACCATTATGTTATGGTACAACTTTACAACTCGAAGTTGTACCATCACATAAAGGTACAAGTTCAAGTTGTACCATAAAAGAATTTGTACAAAAAGTATAGGTACAATCTAAAGTTGTACCATACCGTAAATGTATAATTTTAAGTTGTATCATAAAGACAAAAACCTATAGCACCAATACTATATAGCATTGTAAAATTTCTCTAAATAAATATAAAGAAGTAAGAAAGCTGACACCGGTAAAAAAAACAAATAATTAAAAAAAAACAATGAAATGCTCTGTTATGGGAACAAAACTAGTGTATCATCATTTGAGAAATTGAGGGGTGTAAGCAGTGCACCAGCACCATTAAGCAACTAAATTAATTTGCAGTTGCACTATATATATAGGCCAATGTAAATTTGTAATCGTTTCTACATCCTCTAACTACTATTTTTTAACTATTTTAAAAGTCAATCATCTGACGTTGTTTGCAGTACAAGACAGCTAAAAGAAGGCCTGGTCACGACGGTCTATGCTGTATAATCAACTATTCTTAAATAATACTGACAATTCAATCAATCAATCCATATATCATTCACTCCACAGTCCACAGTAATTACTATAATCTATAAACCCTAATTAACCTGTTTCTAGTATTGAATATCAAATATATATACTCATCTAAGTCATCTTCCAGTACAAAACAAGGCAGGGCAGAGGTCACGGAGCTCCAAATCCTAGATTAGACTCAACCGTGGCTTTGATTAAACCAAGAAAGACACTGTTCATGATTAATAATGGTAATTAATACAATCAAATCCATAATTATCATTATAGTAATTTCTAATAAAGTCCACAGATGAAGTAGACAAGAACAAATATATTACTTCCTTAAAAAAGCAAGCACAGAAAGAAAAGAATCCCCCGCAGTGGATAATTTCTTTTACAGAAATTAAAAAAAGAAATTCCCGCAATTCCTCCTTGTCCGCCTCCATTCACCTCTAATTCGCCCATGTCCCAACCCCCCAATACAAAATTGACCCCTTTCTCTCTCGTCTCCCCTCTCTACTGTATTGCACTTACAAAGAAAAGAAAAGAAAAGAAGAGGAAGAGAGAGAAACAAACTTCCAAAAAGGAAAGTTAGAAAATAGAAATAAAGAAGAGCGAGGCATACATATTACAGCGGAAGCAAGCCAGTGGCTGCTGCCTGTGTCTGTGTGCGTGGCTGCAAGCGAAGCTAGAAATGTTCTCTTCCCAGAATTTTATTCATTAGCGAGCAGTGGTATAAATTTCTGCCCAGAAGATAAACAAAAGGTTGCAACTTTTGCTTTCTTTAACCAGCAATTTGACTTCCCCTTTTCTTGGGTTGTCCTAACTTGCATGTTTTAGCTTCCCCTCACCCTCTGTATTCCATCTTTACACTGAAAGCTTGCGCCTTTTCCTAACTTCCGAAGCTTTCCTTTTGTTCCCCTTGCCTGGCTCCCTGCAGTTCAATGGAGGAAATTAATTCCAGAGATGGGTTTTAAGCGAACCAGCAAAAAGAAGTGGTTTTGCTGACATGAATCTTGCTCTTCACTTCAAATGGTGATGATTCATGAACTAAAATGGAGCTCAGCAGATCTACCGCCATGGGAACCAGCTGCCTCAAAAATCTCGTGCTACCCTTCTTCCTCTTCTTCTTCTCCTCCATTATTCCAGTGATTCTCGCCGCTACAGACCCTGGCGACTTAGCTGTCCTCAAGGAATTCAGGGAAGGGTTGGAGAATCCGGAGCTTCTGGAATGGCCCAAACCTGGCGGGGACGAAGACCCTTGTGGCCAGACGTGGAAACACGTCATCTGTTCCGGTTCAAGGGTTACCCAGATTCAAGTTCAGAGCATGAGCTTGAAAGGCACTCTGCCACAGGACTTCAACAAGCTTGCCATGCTGGACAATTTGGGGCTACAGAGGAACCAATTCACTGGGCCATTGCCTTCCTTCAAGGGCTTGTCCAAGCTTAGGTACGCCTTTCTCGATTACAACGGCTTCGATTCGATTCCCTCCGATTTCTTCGATGGCCTTGACAGTCTGGAAGTTCTGGCATTGGATGGGAACAATTTCAATGCTACCACTGGTTGGTCAATCCCTAAAGGGTTGCTGAATTCTGCACAGTTGGTCAATTTTACATGTACCAGCTGTAATTTGGCTGGTCCGTTGCCTGATTTCCTGGGGAGTTTTGTCTCTCTACAAAACTTGTTGCTTTCGGACAACAATATAACCGGTGAGCTTCCAGCAAGCTTCAAGGACAACACTGCTTTGCAAATGCTGTGGTTGAATGATCAGAACGGCGATGGATTGACCGGTCCTATTGATGTGGTTGCAACAATGGAATCTGCTACCACTCTATGGCTTCATGGAAACCAGTTCACCGGTCCCATCCCTGATAGCATTGGTAATTTGACTAGCTTGAAGGATCTAAATCTCAATGGTAATCGACTTGTCGGGTTAGTCCCTTCTAGCTTAGCTGATTTGCCATTGCAAAAGCTGGATTTGAATAATAATAGGTTGATGGGGCCTATACCGAAGTTTAAAGCAGCTAAAGTTTCCTTCAGTTCAAATTCATTTTGTCAGTCTACAGCTGGAGTTCCATGTGCTGATGAAGTCATGACACTCATAGAGTTCCTCGATGGTTTGAATTACCCTTCCAGGCTAGTCTCTTCATGGACTGGTAATGATCCGTGTTCTTCGTGGCTTGGGATTCGCTGTAATCCGAATGGCAAAGTTGATTCCATTGTTCTGCCTAACTACAATCTCAGTGGAATTTTAAGCCCTTCAGTTGGTAAACTTGCTTCTCTTACTCAAATCAAACTTGAAGGCAACATTATAACAGGCCCATTACCAGAAAGCTGGACTAGCCTGCCATCTCTAAAGACTTTGGACCTCAGTGGCAACAACATCTCACCTCCATTGCCAAAGTTCTCCACCACTGTCCAACTTCTAACCACTGGGAATCCTCTGTTGGTTGATGGTGGGAAGTCTGCTCCACGCAAAAATCCATCATCTTCTCCCGATTCTGGATCAAATGGAGGCTCCCACAATGGTGGTTCCTCTTCTGAGCAAAATGCCCCTAAGAGGTCCATTCTAGTTGCAGTCTTAGCTCCTGTTGCGAGTGTAGCTTTCATGGCCATGCTAGCTATCCCGCTTTCGATATATTGTTACCGGAAGAGGAGAGGCACGTTCCAAGCTCCAAATTCCCTCGTCGTTCATCCAAGAGACCCATCGGACTTGGACAACAACACAGTTAAGATCGTGGTTGCTAACAATGACATCACCGGTGCAAGCTCTTCCACAAGAACAGCAAGCGGTGGTTCAATGTACAGCAGCGGGTTTGGGGATTCTCACGTCATCGAGGCCGGGAACCTGGTGATATCGGTTCAAGTACTTCGTAATGTGACGAAGAACTTTGCACCTGAGAACGAGCTAGGCCGTGGTGGGTTTGGAGTGGTGTATAAAGGAGAGCTCGATGATGGGACCAAAATAGCAGTGAAGAGAATGGAGTCTGGTGTGATTAGTAATAAAGCATTGGATGAGTTTCAATCCGAGATTACAGTTCTTTCAAAGGTTAGGCACCGGCATTTGGTGTCGTTGTTGGGGTATTCTGTTGAAGGTAATGAGAGGATTCTTGTGTATGAGTATATGCCACAGGGAGCTCTCAGCAGGCATCTTTTCCATTGGAAGAGCTTTCAGTTGGAGCCTCTTTCTTGGAAGAGGAGGCTGAATGTTGCTTTAGATGTTGCTAGAGGGATCGAGTATCTACATACTCTGGCTCATCAGAGCTTCATACATAGGGACCTTAAGTCTTCAAACATATTGCTCGCTGATGATTTTAGGGCGAAAATTTCAGACTTTGGACTCGTGAAACTTGCTCCGGATGGTGAGAAATCTGTGGAGACTAGGCTTGCCGGGACTTTTGGATACTTGGCACCTGAATATGCTGGTAAGCAAATTGACAAGTTCCTAGTTCATTGTTCTTGTGTTCTGAATTTGCAACACAGTTTTTATTTGGGTGTCATTTGGAATGTTAGGTTTGAAAAGTGATGGATTTCACCGAAACCATGGAGTTGAAAAGTTATATGGCTCATGACATTTGTTAGGGATTTCAAAACCTTTGTTGTTCCGAATGTTGGATTTAAGATTATTGACCATGATACTTCTTATGGAGGTCTGGAAACAATGAATTCTCATAATCCTATGGAACAAACTACTGGTTAAATTTGCATTGGTACTAACTGATGGTTATCATGTCAAATGGTTGCAGTGACTGGGAAAATCACGACGAAGGTGGACGTGTTCAGCTTCGGTGTCGTCCTGATGGAGATGCTCACCGGATTGGTAGCACTAGACGAAGACCGATCAGAGGAAAAGCAGTACCTAGCAGCATGGTTCTGGCACGTGAAATCGGACAAGCAGAAGCTGAGAAATGCCATCGACCCAGCACTCGAACCAAACGACGAGACATTCGAAAGCATCTGGACGATCGCAGAGCTCGCAGGCCACTGCACAGCAAGGGAACCCAGCCAAAGACCCGACATGGGACACGCTGTCAATGTGCTTGCACCCTTGGTCGAGAAATGGAAGCCACTGGACGATGACCCGGAAGAGTACTGTGGGATTGACTACAGCCTGCCGCTCACTCAGATGGTGAAAGGGTGGCAAGAGACTGAAGGCAAGGACATGAGCTATGTGGATTTGGAAGACAGCAAAGGAAGCATTCCGGCCAGGCCTACTGGGTTTGCAGATTCTTTCACCTCTGCTGATGGTCGATGAATGAGACTAGAGCTATATCAGTGGCTTCTTTTTGGTGTTTGGCCGTTTCAGTCTGTAGATAGTTTGTGTTTTCTCTCTTGTTTTGTCCCCCACTTTTTGTGTATCACTATGTTTCATGTAGTGTTTTGAAATTTTTGTGATGAAACTTCTCTATGATGTTTGGCAATGCAGATAGAGAAGAAGGGATTGAATTGATGCATTGTTGTTCCATCAGCTTCTTATCTCTGTTTGATTGTGTGAGGTTCATTTTAGAATTGCTTTTACAACTGCGTGGGGACTGGGGAAGGAACATAAAGCAGCAGCAAAACCAAGTAAAAAGAAGCAAACTTTCAGAAAAAACAGTAATTTGGCTTAGCTAGAAGGAAGGAATCGTTTGTCACTTTTCCCATACTTCTGCTGTGGAAGAAGAACACATATTAACATGGTGACATGGGAGGAAGGTGACAAAAGCTCTTTGGCGCTGACTGCTGATTCATGCTGCTGGTGGGTCGGCGGTCAATTATCGATCAATCAATCTGGAGCAGGCTGGCTAGCTTAGGACAAACTGTCCAGATGGAAAATATAATTATTGATGGTAATAAACCAAAAATGGAAGGCTAAGCTGCAGACGGGAGCAGAGGACACGGACAAGTTTGAGAGGGATGTTTTCCCACTCTGTCTGTTTGTCTTCTTTTCTGGGCACGATCCAATAATGGATCCCACGAAGACACATGTGGCCGTCGAGCTCTGGACAGTTGGCGGGAAAAGTGTGGAAGGTTTTGATTGGTCCAGTTTCTATAATTAGTACCCACAGGCCAGATAAGAGATCTTGCTATTTTTCGACTTGGACTTAGGCTTTCTTTTCCCGCCGGTTTGGTTTCCGTTTGTTTGTTGGGGTTAGGTCCTGCTAGCGTGGAAACTTACACCAAGGGGAGCCAATTTGACGGGTAATTCGGATGTTAACTAAGTTTGGACTTTGGACAAGCTCAATTTCGGGGATATTTTTTTTCTCGAACCATTGTGATGTACTGATGTTTACTTGGACTTGGTGTTATGACTTATTATAAGAGAGAAAACCGTTTTATTTTATTTTATCGAAAAGTTAATTTACAATATTCTGTTTACAATATTTATATCAGTTCTATTAAACTAAATTACAATATAGTACCTGAATTAAACAAACATTACAATTTGTATTTATAACTACTCAATATACTAACACCCTCCCTCAAGCTGGAGCATATATGTCCAGAGTGCCCAGCTTGGAAACAAGACCTGAAAACACAGCAGTAGGCAGAGATTTTGTAAACAAGTCAACAACTTGATTAGAAGTGGAAACATGAAGTAATTTAATCAAACCAGACGCAATCTTATCCCGTGTTAAGTGACAATCCAACTCAATATGCTTAGTCCACTCATGAGCAACGGGATTCTCAGCTATTCTTAGGGATTTTTTCAGAAATAGCACCTTTAAAAAAAATTTACAAAAATAGCACCCAGCCGAAAAAATTTACACTAATAGCACCATTTTTTATGGACCGCACCTTAGAGGTGCGTTTTATATATAAACCGCATCTTGGCCAAGCGGTTTTAGGTCTGACCTACTTAAACCGCTTGGCCGAGGTGCGTTTTTAGGTCTGACCTACTTAAACCGCACAATGAAGCTGCGGTTTGCTTCTCCCAAACAAAATCGCATCTTCATGGTGCGGTTTTGCCACTCAAACCGCACCCCCAAGGTGCGGTTTTGGTCAATTATTTCCAACATTCCATGCAGAACAACAGACGTGGGTCTGCATGGGCCTGCATGGCAGACGAAAACCGCACCTCTAAGGTGCGGTTTTCATCAGTGATTTTGCCTATAAAAGGCTTTCCGAAAAACCATTTCTCTTCACACCTCTCCTTCTCCCTTTTCAATTTTCTCTTGTAGCTCTATATTTCTTTAGTAGTTTTGCGATTATCGTTAACTCGTAAGTTTATTTTGTATTACGTTTTAGTGTTATTTTTTATTTTTGATTTTTATGATATTAACTGAACTACGGTTTTATCGCAGATGGCATTCCAAAAGTTCACGCTAGACTTATGGTGGAATGGTTACACGGAAGAGACCGGAAAGGGGGCCACCTACGTCGGTGGCAATTTTCAGAAGATAAAGGTCGCTACTAGACCGCTGCTTGAAGACCTCCATCAAAGGGGGGATCCGAGGATCTCTTAATACCCGATTTTCCCAGGTAATGGGAGGATATGATAATCGCTTAAAACCCCATTTCCTTAGACGTGCATCTCTTTATAAAGAGTCGAACTAAGTGGCGCTATGTATTCGATTAAATTATTGAAAACAACCAACACGATTAAAAAATCAACATAAATTTATTTTATATTACACTAAATACATTAACAAAATAAAAGAAGGACAAATGGTGAAGAATTGTATGTACCGGGTGATCGTTCCAAACATCCCTTGACCGATGGTTGGGTTGGTCGTACAAGTCGGTTGGATCCAACGGTCCTTGCTCGAGATAATACCGTTGGTTGTATATATCCACGTCCTCCCCAACCTACGAGAAAATAACAACGAGGTTAGTACATAGATTAATTAAAAAGCTTATAACAACAACAAAAATTAAAGCAGAATAATGAGTACGTACCGCTTGAAATTCATCGACATAAACTCCCTCTCCTTGCCACCAATCGGCCATTTTTTTGGGAAATTCGGACAGAGGTTCGGCTCGGCGGGTTTTGAGGAAAAAACCTAAGAAATATTTTCTGATGGCAGATCGGACTTAGCCGCAACCAACAGACTTCTATTTCCTAGGCTTTTGGGAGGGGAGGGTTTAGAGAGATAAAATCTAGAGAGAGAATGAAGAATGGGTTGTGGTGTGAAGAAATGAGAGGGGAATGGGGTATTTATACCCAACAGACCGCACCCTCCAGGGGCGGTCGGGTAATTTTGCCCTCATGGAAACCGCACATTTCCGAGGTGGTTTGCGTTTCCCGAGAGTTGACCGCACCTCGGCGATGCGTTCCCCGATCCGTGGCGCGGATCGCTCCACTGGCGCGCGTTCAGCGCTCAGATCGTGCCCCCATCCAACGGTCTTCAAGACCGTTCCACAGAATCTGAAGAACGCATCTTGGGGCTGCGTTTCTTGTGCTGACGTGGCTTGGAACACACCCCTAAGGTGCGGTTTATATGTAAAACACACCTGTGAGGTGCGGTTTACTTATAAAATGCACCTTAGGGGTGCGTTCCATTAAAATTGGTGCTATTTCTGTCAATATTTTCGAATTGGTGCTAGTTTTGTAACTTTTTTTTTAAAACGTGCTATTATTGGAAAAATCCCCTATTCTAATGGCAGATTGACTATCAGAAAACATGGCAGTAGGCTTAGTGAACAAAAGTCCTAAGTCTGCAAAAAGATAATTAAGCCACTGAATTTCGCATGTAAGATTAGCCATGGCTCGATACTCAGCCTCGGTTGATGATCGAGAGATTGTTTGTTGCTTCTTGGACCGCCATGGTATCAAAGAACCACCCAAGAAGACACAGAACCCAATTGTGGATCTTCGAGAATCTAGACAGCCTGCCCAGTCACTGTCAGAAAACGCCTTAAGAGACAAGTCAGTGTGTGATGGAAAGAATAAACAAAGTCCAGGGGACCCTTTCAGGTAATGTAAAACACGATGAGCAGCTGCCATATGAATGTGAACATCAAAAGCAATATTAGGACGTGTATTGCACTTGTACAATAAACGCCCAACCAACCTTCTGTATACAGAGGAATCCTCTAAAAGAGTACCAGATTTAATCGAAAGTCTAAATCCTGGATTACAAGGAGTGGCCACAGGTTTGGCTCCAAGTAAACCAGAATCATTTAACAAGTCTAGGACATACTTACGTTGACAAATGGAAATCCCTATTTTATTTTTAGCTATTTCGAGACCGAAAAACTATTTAAGGTTGCCGAGATCTTTGATCTTAAAGGCATCATCTAACTTCTTTTGTAGGGACTCTATTTCACTTAAGAAATCACCAGCTAATATAATATCATCAACATAAACCAAAACAACAAGGAACTAACCATCTTGGTGTTTTGTAAACAAAGAATAGTCTGCTTTGGATTGAGTATATCCAGCTTGTAAAAGAAATTCTGTTAACCTGTGATTCCATTGTCGACTAGCTTGTTTAAGTCCATAAAGGGACTTATTTAGTTTACAAACCAGATTAGAAGTGTCACCTGAAATTTTCAGACCCAATGGAAGTTTCATATAAACATCCTCAACTAAATCTCCGTGAAGGAAGGCATTATTTACATCTAGTTGATGTAAATGACAGCCTTTTATGGAAGCTAAAGCAAGTAAAGACCGGACAGTAGTTAACTTAGCTACTGGAGAAAAGGTATCTAAGTAATCTATGCCTGGTGTTTGTGTATAACCTTTGGCGACAAGTCGAGCTTTTTCTCGCTCGGCCATTAAATCGGAATAAAATATTACCTTGTAAACCCATTTGTTACCAATGGGGTTTTCCTTTGGTGGCTTCGGCACAACTGTGAAAGTATTGGTTCGAAGAAGAGCATCTATTTCCAGATCCATAGCTGCATTCCATTTCTCATCTTGAGAAGCTTCCATGTATGTTTTAGGTACTACAACAGCAGAAACAGCTAAAGCAAACTTGGAATGATGGTTAGCAAGTCTGTTTGAAGATAAAACAGAAGATAATGGATATGAAACAGGAGAATCAAACACTGAATTACATACATAATCACACAATTTAAGAGGAGGTTGCCTCTTTCGAGGAGGTAAACATTCTGGTTCATCATCAAATAATGGAGGGTACTCAGGAGGAGCAACTCCATCATCATTATTATTCGAAACAGAGGAGGAAGTAGAATCAGAAGAAGGATGTAGGTCGGGTGCCGAAACGGTAGAAGAATCTGGATTAGCACTAACATCATGAGATGTAGTACCATCCATTGACGAAACAGAAATTATTGGAAACAAAAAATTAGAAGAGTCGTGAGAAAAATCTTTGGAAAAATATGGATTTTTTTTCCATGAAATACTACATCACTAGACTCACACAAAGATGATGTAACTAGATTGTACAGTTTACAGCCTTTAGTAGCAAATGGAAATCCTAGAAATATGCAAGGCTGAGCTCTAGGCTCAAACTTTGGTCGATTGTGTGGTAAAGTACACATGTAAACTGAACAACCAAACACACGGAAATTAGAATAATCAGGAACAGATTGATGCAACAACTCATATGGAGACTTATTATCTAAGACATGACTTGGTAGTCGATTTATTAAGAACGTAGGATGTAAGACAGCATGACTCCAGAATTTTGAAGGAATAAAAGACTGAAATAACAAGGCACGAGCAACAACAATGATGTGCTGCTGCTTGTGCTCCACCCGACCGTTTTGATGTGAGGATGCAACACATGTAGTCTGATGTACTATTCCTAAAGAACTATAAAAGGAAGGCATATGAAACTCAAGGCCATTGTCAGATCGAATAACCTTAGGTTTGAGATTATATTGAGTTTGAACGTAACTAATAAAGAAAACTAACAATTCACGTGCTTCAGACTTCTTATGCATCAGATAGACCCAAGTGTTTTGTGAGAAATCATCAAATATTGTTAAAAATATCGATAACCATCTACAGAGGTCAGAGGTAACACCATATGGACCCCATATGTCAATGTGGACCAAATCAAACAAAGCAAGAGCATGAGAATCACTTTCCATGAATGGCAAGCATTTCTGTTTGGCCATGGGACAAACAGAACAATGTTTGTGTTTAACAGAAGTAACACTACTATTCTTAGACATAATAGTTTGCTAAGGATTACATGAAGCATGTCCAAGTCGATAATGGCAAATATCAATGTCATGAATAGTTGAATAAAAAAACAACAGACATCAATCTAGATTCTAGTGCAGGGGCAGTGATTTGGGTCAGTAAGACAGGATGGGCTGTTGGAATCAGCTGTGAAGCAGTAAAGCCCACCAGACTCTCTAGCTGTACCAATCATCTTGCGGGAGACCAGATCCTGAATACTGCAATGATTGTGAAAAAATGTCAAGGAACAAGCTGTATCCTTGGTTAATCTGTCTACAGAGATTAGGTTGAAGCCAAACAAAGGAATATAGAGAACATTCCTAAGTTCTAATGAACCAAACAAGGCAATAGTACCAATATGTGTGACTTGTACTTTTGTACCATTTGGAAGTGAAACGTTAATACCATTAACAGCAGAATAAGAACTAAAATACTCTAATCTAGATATGACATGATCAGAAGCCCCACTGTCTATGACCCAAGAAACCATATCTACTTTCACAGTGCTATTGGCTAGAACATACTTACCTCTTGAAGAAGAAGCAGATGCCGAAGACTCAAAAGTAGCACCCGTTGTGAAAGCATTAGCCTCTGGGACATGAGAGACAGCTGATGGTTGACTCACAGAGAATTGTTGAGCAACCAAAGCTCGATACTGTTGTTGCGTAAGAACAATCGAATCAGAAGCTTGACTTCCGTTCTCAATGGAAACAGAGACATCTGTATGATCACTCACTACAGCATTAACCCTAGACCTGCCTTTGTAACCAGGGGGTAACCATGCTTCTTAAAGCACTTATCTATAGTATGACCAGTCAAACCACAGAAAGAACAGACAGGATGTTTAGAAATTAGACTGATTATTTCCCCTCTACTGGTTGTTTTGGACTGCACAAGCTAATTGATTGGAACTAACAGTATTGGAGACCTTGTTCTGACGCTCAAACTGGACTATCATGGAGAAAACCTTGTTGATAGGAGGAAGAGGATCCATCAACAAGATCGAAGAACGAACAGACTCAAAATCCGCTCCAAGACCTCTCAAGAACCGAATAATCTAGTCAGATCTAGCATACTCAGCACAAGAACACTTCGGAACACACAAGCAAGACCTAATTGGACGATATGTCATCAATTCATCCCAAAGAACCCTAAGCTTGGTAAAGAACTCACTCACAGATATACTGACCTGCTTGAGGTTGAAGACCTCGTCCTGCAAGTCGGCAATGCGAACAAGATCGATGATGTTGAAACGCTCGCTGAGATCTCTCCAGACCTCGACCGCCGAGTTGAGCCAGAGAACGCTCTGTCCGATGTCTGGAGCCAACGAACGGATAATCCAGCCAAGCACCATTGTGTCACACTGCTGCCAAGCGGAGTAGAGAGGATCACAGGGCGGCGGCGTCGCAACTGCAGGATCGATGAAGGTGAGCTTGTTCTTCGATAGAAGACCAAAACGCATGGACCTCGCCCAAGAGTGGTAATTCGGCCCGGTAAGCACGATTGACACGAGCTGTGTCGTCGAGGAATCACCGGAGCTGATGTAGTATGGATGATTAGGCGAGATAGTCACTGCGAGAGGAAGAGGTGGTCGGAAAGACGAAGAAGTCGCCATTGGAGAAGGCTTTGAGAAACGGAAACCCTGGATTTGGATAGCAGAAGCGAAAGAAACTAGTCAGAGAAACGTGTTTGCTCTGAT